TCACCCAGAATCGGACATGAGTAGACTTAATGGCAAAGGGAAATCTATGTCAATAAAAACCATGGTGCTCAGTTTGTAAGACCTGAGCAGGATAATAGAGGACCAGGGCCCTTGGAAATCTCTTTCATAGGATTCCAGAATGACAACCACCCACAAAATAGGCAGGCGCCATGCTCTGGTGACCATCTTGACTCTCCCTGATAACTAAACATCCTGCAGAATACAAATGGAAATATTCGTGATCATGGCACTCTCCCAGAAATCCTTCTCCTATTCCCCTATGTTTCACATTTTGATCAGATACTTCCCATTTTGCTTCCTGGTTTGGCATTATAGCTCTAGGAATGGCTCAGTTCCTAGAACCTCTTGCCAGGTATCAGTTCAGGCTGAGCCTCACTTGTCTTTGAGCAAATCACAGTAGGTGATATTATTTGTTTGAGACCCCAATAAAGTATTCTGTTCCTGTAATTACGACACTCCTTTAACCCCAGTCACTGCAGATTTACTTTGGAAACTAGCCATACAAAATAAACAGTTAAGAACCGTATGTATTGTCAGACATGCATACATGAATGCTGATACCTTATCAGATGCACGGCTGTTGGTAGAATATTTAATCTCAGTGTAAACAAATTCCTTCTCAGCTTGAAAGCAAGCTAGTTTCCTTATGTATAAAATACTCAATGCGGTTATAGTGGTTAGGAACAGGAACAACCATGTTCAAGTCCCTATGTCACCATGACATGACATGGTGACTTTGGGGGCATCGAACCTATCGAATTAATGCCATTTGGCACATTTTAATTGACATGACTCTATGCAATGGGATCAAGGGAGTTGAGGTTTGAGAGGTATTTTACCTTCTCTGCCAAAGAGTGCTGGTATTCATCAAACTTCAACTCCTAGGATTCCATAGCACTGAGCCACAACAGTTAAAGTGGTGTCAAACTGCACCAATTCTACAGTGTAGATGCACCTTGCAAGCATCCTACCATCTCATAGCCTAGAATTCTTGGGGATAAAGAAAGAAAACTATTCGTTGTCTGTGAAATGATGCCTCCATTGCTGGATTTAATCTGATTTTTTTTTAAAAAAAACTAAAGTATCAAATGTAGTTTGAGATGGGGTCAAGTAACTTGGACAACTCCTTTGGGAGTAAAGCTCAGAGTGACTAATTCTGTCATAATTGACAAGGAAGCAACTAAACATTGGTGGAACTGTTCATACTTCCGTAGGTTTTCAAGGCCTATTCACAATTTGGGACTTATCTGAGCAAAATCTACACATGGTTGTTTCTCATAGAAAACAGAATTTTCTGTGGGTTGCTGTGAGTTTTCTGGACTGTATGGTCATGTTCCAGAAGCATTCTCTCCTGACGTTGTGCCCACATCTATGGCAGGCATCCTGAGAGGTTGTGAGATCTGTTGGAAACTATGGAAACTATGTATATATCTGTGGAATGTCCAGGGTGGGTGAAAGAACTCTTGTCTGCTTGAGGCAAGTGTGAATGTTGCAATTGGCCACCTTGATTAGCATTGAATGCCCTTGAGTCTTCAAAGCAACACTAAAAAAAGGGGGGAATTCTAGTCAAGAATCAATCAGGGCCAGCTAACACCTCCCAACAAAGGATCCCCTCAGGCAGCAACCAAACAGGCTTTATTTATTTATTCGCTGTATTTGTATAACACCCTTCTCAACCATGAAGGGGACTCAAGGCAGTTCACAGTGAAGCTGCAAGGTCATTCAGTGCTAATTACGGTGGCCAATTGCAACATTCACACTTGCCTCAAACAGACATGAGTTCTTTCTCCCAACCTGGACATTCTACAGATATATAAACCTCATTTGCCTCATTTCCAACAGACCTCACAACCTCTGCTGATGTCTGCCATAGATCTGGGCAAAACGTCAGGAGAGAATGCTTCTGGAACATACCCATACAGCCCCAAAAACTCACAGCAACCCAGTGATTCAGGCAATGAAAGCCTTCAATAGCACAGAATTTTCTTTGCAGGATGTATTTTTTTCTGACAGAAAAGTCATTCTGTATAAAAATATTATTTCTGGATAAAAACTGTCTCCTACACAGAAAAAGCATTTTTCAGTGCAAAACAACCACATACAAATTTTGCACGGCATGTTTATTTATTTATTTGCTTTATTTCTATACCGCATTTTTCAGCCCTTAACAGGCGACTCAATGCGGTTTACATGGTACAATTATCAAACAGTGTCAGTGCAATTAAAACATAACAATGCAACAAACAGGATCAACAGCATCAATCCACAACAGTTAACAATCAACAAGACAGATCAACAAAACAGACATAACATAACGCCTCAGTTGAAATCAGATCCGTTCTCATAATCCTTGTGCCATTCCTATGTTCCATTTACCGTCTTCCTATGATTGGTTGCACTGCTTAACCAAACGCTTGTTCATAAAGCCAGGTCTTAACCATTCTCCGAAACGTCAGCAGCGAAGGTGCCTGTCTGATGTCTGCCGGTAGGGCATTCCATAGCCGAGGGGCCACCACTGAGAAGGCCCTGTCTCTCGTCCCCGCCAAGAGCGCCTGTGACGCAGGCGGGATCGAGAGCAGGGCCTCCCCAGACGATCTTAATGTTCTGGTCGGTTCATAGGTGGAGATGCGTTCGGAGAAGAGCCTAATATTTCAATCCAGAAATTTTATTTTCCATGCAGAAAAAATGGCTCCTTCCTAGAAAAAGCTGTGCAAAATAGCCACATGTGAATTTTGTGCGGAATCTGTCTTGATTTACAAAATGTCTTGTCAATCAAGGGATTCTTTTCATTGGGGTTTCTCAGGCCCCTTCCACACAGTTGTATAAAATCCCACATTATCTGCTTTGAACTGGGTTATAGGGCAGTGTGGACTCAGATAACCCAGTTCAAAGCAGATATTGCCTTGATATTCTTGGTTATATGACTGTGTGGATGGGCCCTCGATACTCGAAAAACATGGGGGGGGGGGGTTGGAATAATTTGCCAAATACTTTTGAATACTGTTTGCCTCTGTAGTTCCCCCTCAGGATATCCAGATGGAAGCCAGCCACCGTTTCCTACATAGGGAAGGGGTTTGCATTCCTTTTCACTTTGAGCTTTATGGATTACAAAGGTTAAAAATAAATGATGATGGACAATAGGGAACTATTATCCTCCTAACCTTGTTCCTACAGATCCTGCCTGCAGAGTTTGATCATGATCCTTCCTTGTCTGCTCACGGCACCCTTCCTGCGACCCATACCATAAAAGGAATGGGATTCCATGTGGAATTAGCAGGAGCTTTCAGGAACATCAGCTAGAAAGTGTGGAATGAGAGACCTTGGCCTGTGATTTAAGCATGCCATCATATCCTATTTAATTGTTGTCCTGACTGGGTAGCCTGAAGATAAGCCAATATGACATTTCTTCAATAAAAAGTGCCCTTTCCTTAAGCCAGTAAAAGACATCCATATTAAGCTGTTCATTTAAATACAATCACTGCCAAAGAGTTCCTGAAATTTACCATATATATTTAAGTATACATTGATCTCATGTATAAGTCGAGGGCAGTTTAGGGGGCCAAAATTATGGATTTTGATATGACTGATGGATACGTAGAGGGTCTTTTCACAAACAGGGGACAGCATCAATACTACCTCCCTGGCCACTGCCACTACTCTTTTTTTATAAGAGTAAAGCCATATTACTCACATTGGTCCATGGATCAGTGGACCAGGTTTTTGGACTGAATTTTTGAGTAAAATTTCTAGACCTGTACTTGAGTATATAGGGTAACTCCATAGTATGTGTTGGGGCTCAGCAACAAGATGCTGGGGATGTTGGGGATTCTGATTCAGAGGATAAGATTTTCACTGAATCTGTGTCTGTTCCTCTGGTTGAAACACAGATAGAAATGCAGGCCGTAGATCACAGAGACAGGCCAGGGCCATCAGCTGCAGAAGCGATAAAGGATGTTTCTCTTGAGAATCAGCTTGCCCGGTCTTCTCAGCCTTCAGAAGATGGGGAGTTGTTCTGTGATATAAGATTAGAGCTCTGCTGAGAATGAGCTAAGGAGAGGTTAATTAGAAGGTCAGAAAGAATATGTGGGAAACAGTCCTTGAAACACAGGTGCAGAAAAGATGATCTAATGTCTGTTTGGTCAGGTTTGAGCTTAAATTAGATGCGGTTTCCTGGGCTCTTTAGAGCAGACAACTTCATTTTATAATCAAGTTCATGAATAGGTGTCAAGTTGACAACATTCCTGAATGGGCATTTGCCTTGCTTAAGTTCCTGTTTTCATGCTATGGATTTTTGGCCTATGCTTTGACTCTTGGATTTCAAGTATCTTGTGATTTTAGATTTCATGTACCTTGTTATTTTGGACTTTATGCACCTTGCTTGTATGGATTTCATGTATCTTTCAACCTTGGATTTCATGGACATTACAATCTTGGACTATTTATCTTGATATCTTTGGACTATTGCTATTTTATAGCACCTTTTGTACTGCCTTTTTGGGAAATGCCATTTTTCCTTTTTGTATATGCCTTTTGTAAATAAACTTGTAGATAAACCTCTGTAGTTAACCACTACAAGCCCCCGGTGGTGCAGTGGGTTAAACTGCTGAGCTGCTGAACTTGATGAGCGAAAGGTCACTGGTTCGAATTTGGGGAGCAGGGTGAGCTCCCGTTGTTAGCCCCAGCTTCTGCAGTTTGAAAACATGCAAATGTGTGTAGATCAATAGGTATGGCTCCGGCAGGAAGGTAATGGCACTCCATACAGTCATGCTGGCCACATGACCTTAGAGGTGTCTATGGACAAGGCTGGCTCTTCAGCTTAGAAATGGAGATGAGCACCAACCCCCAGATTTGGACACCTTTACCATTTACCTAGTTAGCCAATACTGGACTCTGATGCTGGGTGAAAAGGTGTTCCTGATGTAGAGTGCAACAGTATGCCCTTTCCACAAAAGCATGAACTGTCATTTCTTTTCTTCCAGGTGAAAAACAGAATCTGTCATCATGTCTGAGGAAGAAGTTGAGTATGAGGAGTAAGTAACACCAACTCTGGACCATGGTCACAAATGTGTGGTCATGAAAGCACCCACACATATTTCATATTTTTTGGTGGGGGAGGTATTCAAGCAAGCTGAAATATCAATTTGTTTTCTCAGAGAATCCACTTACAGATACAATTAGATCCAGAGAGGTTAGAATAATGGGGTGAATTATTCCATCTATGTCATATTTTACATATTCACAGACTTGCCAGACATAAGATTCAAATGGCTCCTTCAATGTAGATTCCAATAATCACATTTGAAAGTAGAGGCATTTGAAACTGCAGCTTTGAATTTTGAAACTGGGCCCAGTTTTAAGTGTTATGGTTTCAAGGACATCTGGGGAAATTCAACCAAAATGTATGAAATTGACCCAAACAGCGGAACAGGGATGGTGAAGTGACATGGCCTCTCCATTTCTCCCATTTTTCTGAATGTTCAGCATACTTGCATTGACACTAATTACACGGTGTTTACTGTGCAGAAAAGAAAATTACTTTTGCTAGGCATAACCCATTATTAGCTATCAATTCCTTTGTCCCCCTGTAACAGTGCTCCAACTAAATTATAGTATTTCTGTAATTTATTGAGTTTTTCCAGTGTTAATTATGACTGATAGAATCATTAAATGATAGAACTGGAATGGATCAAATCTAGCCCAACACCTTGCCATATACAACTAGAGCCCTCTACAAAAGTGCCCATCCAGTCTTGGTTTTAAGACCTTCATGAGAGTTCACCATTCTTCAAGAGTCCTATTTCACATTTGGAAAGCCCTTATGGCAAAGAAGTTCTTCTTAATGTATAGGTATTTGAAGTTCTTCGTAATGTATATGTCATTTGAATCCACTGGTTTGTATTCCAGATGCAGGAACAAGCTCACTCTGAAACCATTGGCTCTGTAGTTTGGTGAGCCACTAGAGCTCTCTACAGAATAATTCTAAATTCCCTCCCTACAGTGCGGATTCCAGAAATCCATAGGATGTTGCCATGGCAGTTAAAGTGAATGTGTAGTTCTATTTATTTATTTATTTATCGTGTCAGGAGCAACCAGACAGTTGTATTACATTTTTAACAAAACAGACAGACAGACAGACAAAACACAAAGTTTGCAAGCTTGATTGATTAAATGTCCTTTAACCAGTATCTGGCCACTTGGAGTGCCTCTGGTGTTGCTGCAAGAAGGTCCTCCATTGTGCATGTAGCCAGGCTCAGGTTGCATTGCAGCAGGTGGCCAGTGGTTTGCTCTTCTCCACACTTGCATGTCATAGATTCCACTTTGTAGCCAAATTTCTTAAGATTGGCTCTGCATCTTGTGATGACAGAGCGCAGTCTGTTCAGCGCCTTCCAAGTCACCCAGTCTTCTGTGTGCCCAGGGGGGAGTCTCTCATTTGGTATCAGCCATTGATTGAGGTTCTGGGTTTGAACCTGCCACTTTTGGACTCTCGCTTGCTGGGGTGTTCCAGCAAGTGTCTCTGTAGATCTTAGAAAACTATTTCTTGATTTAAGTCGTTGACGTGTTGGCTGATACCCAAACAAGGGATGAGCTGGATATGTCACTGCCTTGGTCCTTTCACTATTGGCTGCTCCTTCCCAGCAGATGTCAGGTGGTGCAATACCGGCTAGACAGTGGAATTTCTCCAGTGGTGTAGGGCGCAGACACCCGTGATTAGTGACGGGCAACCTTTTGAGCTTGGTGTGTCAACCTTTTGAGCTTGGTGTGCCAAAAACCTGAGCATAACTTGGTTGGAGTGTCACTTTGAGAAAAAACCCATAATTTTGCAATATTTATAGTTTAAATAAAAAAATGTATAATCCATGCTGAGTTATGAAGTGAACAATGCTCAAACATGCAGATGTTAAATTTGTAGAGTCTTTTACAAATTTCAGGATGGAATTAGATTGGTTCTTATAAGGTGTATTTCTTTGTATGTGGCCGCATGTGTCTGCGTGTCATCAAAAATAGCCATGTGTGTCAGTGCTGACATGCATGTCATAGGTTCACCATCATGGCCCGTGATAATGCTGCATGTCTCATTAAGAGCCACATCCACTGTTTTAGCGTGGTGTTCCACACCGGGCATGCATAGTCAGCAGCAGAGTAGCATAGCACAAGGGCAGATGTCTTCACTGTGTCTGGTTGTGATCCCAGGTTGTGCCAATCAGCTTTCATATGATATTGTTTCTAGCGCCCACTTTTTGCTTGATATTCAGGCAGTGCTTCTTGTAGGTCAGAGCATGGTCCAGAGTGACTCCCAGGTATTTGGGTGTAGTTCTATATCTGTACAGTGTTAAATAGTTTCAATTTGCAGAAAACAAAGGGGTAGCAATGATGGGAAGACATGCAACAACCATGCTGCTCTGAGTATTGTGGAGAGAAAAAGTGAGGTATAAATAAACATAAACATAACAACAACAACAACACCAACAGTTCCTCAGTGGTCTAAGTATTGTTCATGGGTCATCTGCTCAGGAACAGGTCCTTAAAGGACACATAAATGCAGCATGTTGGAAATATTCAAGTCTGTTTGACTGCCATTGCTCCCATCCTATAAAACTTCAATGATGGAATCAAGGGTTTTACCAAACAATTCTCAGACTTTTAGAGTAAGCAAACCATGGCCATTGATTGACAGTGGGCATACTAGTACTATATCATGGTTATATTATATAGTATAAGTATGTTCACAGATTTGGGTCAGCACTGAAGGATGGATGCACTAATGTATATATCCATTTCTTTCTCTTACTTTCTCTTTCTCTTCTCCTGCCAATCCCGTTTTCCACACACCAGGGAGCAGCAGGAAGGTAAGGGATATCTATCTAAGCCATCTGTTTTTGCTCATTATCAATTCCAGGTGCTGGTTTCCATCTTATTTTTTAAAAAATTAAACATCACCAAACTTCACCAAACTGGCACCTTCCGAAATGGGGAAACTACAACCCCCATAATCCCTGCCAGCATGGCCATTTAGCTGATGGAGAAATGATTGGCCAACACATCTGAAGGTCGCCAATTTGAAGAAGGCTGGTGCACTCCGTATTATCTGTAAATTGATAGTTGTAACCAATTGTCGGTTGGTTATTTTCCCATGTTGACGTTCTGAAAGGTCTGAATGGAAGTTGTCATTGTTATTTGCTTCTTTCCTCTAAACTTAGCCTAATCTACCTCTGTTTAAACTTTAATGGTGTAGATTTTTTTTGCCAGGTATTTTTGCACATGACAATATCGACTTGATCAAACGAAAAATCCTGGTGTTCTTTTTCACACCTGGGATCATTATTGTTTTCTACATCTTCGTGGAGGTCCAACATCAACTTACTTCCCTCTTCTGGACTTTCCATTGTTTCTGATTTAATTTAAGAGCCATTGTCTGCTAGATAGGCAAATAAAAGTCTTAAAGATCAGCCTATCTTTGGGAACATTCCTCCTATTTAGATTTGTTCTCAGAGGCAGCCTGCAACATAAAGTGATTGGGAAAAAAACTCATTTTATCCATTCATTTAAGCCACATTTTGACATGAAACTAAGAATCTCTCTTTCTCTCTTTCTCTCTGTTTCTTAAAGAAGAAGAGCAACCTGAAGAAGAAGGTGAGAAGACCTCATCTGTTTATTCCCCTCTCCCAAGTCTTTCCTTCTCTTTCTTTTTTCCAGGCTTGTGGCAAACAGAAATCCAGATGGAATCAAATAGATTGGTGGTTCTCAACCTTCCTAATGCCACGACCCCTTAATACAGTTCTTCATGTTGTGGTGACCCCCAACCATAACATTATTTTTGTTGGTATTTCATAACTGTCATTTTGCTACTGTTATTAATCATAATGTAAATGCCCAATATGCAGGAAGTATTTTCATTCACTGGACCAAATTTGGCACAAATAGGCCCAAATTTAAATACTGGTGGGGTTGGGGTGGGGGGATTGATTTTGTCATTTGGGAGTTGTAGTTGCTGGGATTTATAGTTCACCTACAATCAGAGAGCATTCTGAACCCCACCACTGATAGAATTAGGCCAAACTTCCCATATAGAACCCCCCATGACCAACAGAAAATACTGGAAGGATTTGGGATGAATTGACAGTGATTTAGGGGAGATGTAGTTCACCTACATCCAGAGAGCACTGTGAACCCAAATGAATATGGCAAAAGATTTCTTAAGACCATCAGAAATATGTGTTTTCTGATGGTCTTTGGCAACCCCTCTGAAACACGCTCACGACCCATCCAGGGGTCCCGACCCCCAGGTTGAGAAACACTGAAATAGATTAAGGAAGTGGTTTCATCATAGAAAACCAGGGTCTCTTTCACACTTCATAGTTATTGCATTCTGATATTACCCTAACTGCTGTGCGTGCATCCTAAGGAACTTAGGATTCATTGTTTGGTGAGGCACTATAGCTCTCTTCTCTCATAACAAGGGAAATTTTAGGATACGACAAATGGACAGTGGGCTATCACTGTGTAGTATGAAAGAAACTCTGGATACCTACAAATTAAGCATCAAAACATGTCTTACAACAAATCAACAGAAAAAGCAGTTCAATACATGGCAACGTTACGTAGTAATTATTATATTTACTAATTTAGCACCAAAAGATTGCAATGTATTGAAACAGGTGTGGATATGGGCAGGAGGCAGACTGCATTGGATAATACAGAACACTGGATGAGTGAAGGTTGGATAAGCAAGACTCTACTGTACTTCTCCCCAAAGGGAATGAGGCCAAGGGAAAAGAAAGCATGAGGTTTACATTTATGGGATGGAAGTGTATTGATAGACTGGTTAGATCTAGCTTTTCTCTTTAGATCTTTTATGATTCCCAGCTCTGATTTCCTCAAATTTCTCCCTTCTAGTTTTCAGCTTGAGAAGAATCATAGAAATGCACATGCTCTTATATTCCTGGATTTTCTTTTGAATTGATAGAGTATTGCTTTGAACATCACCTGTCATGCAATGCCCTGATGTCAGCATTTTCTGACTTGGTGCACTACAATTCCCACCACTCCTAGCATTGGAAAAGCATGTTGAGAGTTGTTTTCCCCCAAAAAACTGGAGGGAAACAGGTTGGGGGAGGGTATTCTGTGTAATAGAGGTAAAGGTAAAGGTTTCCCCTGACATTGAGTCTAGTCGTGTCCAACTCTAGGGGTTGGTGCTAAGCTCCATTTCTAAGCCAAAGAGCCACCGTTATCCATAGACACCTCCAAGGTCATGTGGCCTGCATGACTGCACGGAGCACCATTACTTTCCCACAGAAGCAGTATCTATTGATCTACTCTCATTTGCATGTTTTCGAACTGCTAAGTTGTCAGAAGCTGGGCAAAACAGCAGGAGCTCACCCTGCTCCTTGGATTGGAACTGCCAACCTTTTGGTCAGCAAGTTCAGCAGTTTGGCGATTTAAACCAATGTGCCACCAGAGGGTCCATTCTGTGTTATAACTTGGTTCAATATGTGTTCAGACTCTTTTATGTTTATGACCAGCATTCCATCTCTTAGGTGCTTGAAGAAGGTTCTTCACCGATGTAACATCATTTTTCCTCTTTCCTTTAACCAGGTTTCACACCATGGTCATGGTGGTTTGTTTTGCCTTTCAGTCATAACCAAGCTTTTTTTCTCTTGACCTTTTGTTTCCCCATCTTGATATCTACCCACAGAACAGATGTGTGTCTTATATACATTCTGAGTAATGTGCATCATTTTAATTGAAAACACAACCCAAATGTGGCATTGGTTTCCAATTTTAAACCCCCTCCAACACAGTCCCTATTGTGTGATTCTTCACCACTGCCATTTAAGAGAAGGGAACCCCCAGAGGCACAATGGGTTAAACCCTTGTGCTGGTAAGACTGCTGACCGATAGGTCAGCGGTTCAAATCTGGAGAGAGCGGGTTGAGCTCCCTCTGTCAGCTCCAGCTCCCCATGCAGGGACATGGGAGAAGCCGAACACAAGGATGATAACACATCAAACATCCGGGTGTTCCCTGGGTAATGTCCTTGCAGACAACCAATTCTCTCACACCAGAAGCGACTTGCAGTTTCTCACAATACTCAAAAATTAAGAGAAGGAGGAATAAAAGGCATGAAATTTGCTATACCTCTTGGAATCAAGGAAAAGAATAATAACACCATAAAAGCATGCAGCCAAATCACTCTCTATGAATGGAGAAAGGGGGGAAAGCTGAGCAGAGCATTCTCCTCCTCAAGGATAAGACCTGTTATGGTTCCTTTCCATTCTTCTGCTCCCCAGAACCAGGGTTGAAGTGGTGGGTGGCCTTCTTTCCCATTGGCTAACAAGTGTTTTTAATTTCCCTGTCCCCCTTTACCCCCATCCTGTAGCTCAGTCTCCCCAACTCTTCTGCCCATCAGATGTTTTGGGTTATAGGTCCCATCAGCCACAGACAGCATGGCAATGGGACTTGTAGCCCAAAGACACAACTGGAGGGTAATGGGTTGGGGATGGCTGTTGTAGATGCCTTTTTCTAACTGCATTTTCCTTTCTTTCCTGGATTTGGTCCTTCCCCTACAACCTCCTTCTCTCTTCTCCTCCCACCTCTCCCGACTTTGCCTCTGTTCCTCACCCCACATCCTGTCCCTGTGATGTGTGTTGGTTGCAGTGACTGAAGAACCTGAGCCAGCTCCTGAGCCAGGTATATAACTCTCCTTCGCTCCGTTCTTCGTGGGGTGGGGGGCCAACCCAGGAGGAAGACACAAGTAGAAGAAGAAGGCAGCGAAGAAGACAAATCACATTGCTCTGCCTTGATTCAAGACAAGACATACCCTCCAACATTTCCCACACAGAAACAGAATGCATGTGACCAAATGGCATCAAAGTGCTGCCAAGAAGGCACATGTTATTACTGACGAAGCACACAAGAATTTGCTTTAGCCTGGATCTACTGGAAAAGGCAATATTCTGCCCCTCATCTCTTTGGTGCAAACTATTTTGGCACTTTGGACTGATTTTTCCGGGCTGTATGGCCATGTTCCAGAAGCACTCTCTCCTGACGTTTCACCCACATCTATGGCAGGTATTCTCAGAGGTTGTGAGATCTGTTGGAAACTAGGCAAGTGGGGTTTCTATATCTGTGGGGTGTCCAGGGTGGGAGAAAGAACTCTTGTCTATTTGAGGTAGGTGTGAATGTTGTAATTGGCCAGCTTGAGGTCAGTTTCCAACAGACCTCATAACCTCTGAGAATATCTGCCATAGATGTGGGCCAAACGTCAGGAGAGAATGCTTCTGGAACATGGCCATACAGCCTGGAAAACTCATAGAATCATAGAATCAAAGAGTTGGAAGAGACCTCATGGGCCATCCAGTCCAACCCCCTGCCAAGAAGCAGGAATATTGCATTCAAATCACCCCTGACAGATGGCCATCCAACCTCTGTTTAAAAGCTTCCAAAGAAGGAGCCTCCACCACAGCAACCCAGTGATTCTGGCCATGAAAATCTTTGACAACCCATTGAACTGAGTTTGCAGCAACTGAATTAAGCCAAGATGAAGGGAGAAAGTGGGAGGAAGAGTGAAAAATGGGGGCATATTAAAGGCAACTAAAGAAATGAAATCAGTACAGTCCCTCAGCACAGTTGGAAGTTGTACAAAACCTGGCATGCCAGCACAGACCAAGGCTGGCTCTACATTGTGGAGTTAGTGTAGTTTGACATCATTTTAACTTCCATAGCTCAATGCTATTGAATCTTGGGAGATATAATTTGGTAAGGCACCAGAATTCCTAGGCAGAGAAGGCCAAAGACCTTGTAAAACTACTACTCTCATGATCCCATAGCCTTCAGCTATGGTAGTTAAAGTGGAATCACAGTGTTTTATTTGTATACTGTAATAGGACCCATAGTCTCAGGTGCATAGCCAAAGAAACAGAATACAGTAGTGATGGGAATTGCATCACTTTCCTCAGCCCTGACTATGCTAGCTAGGGCTGACTGCTGGGAACTGTTGTCTATATTCACCCGGTGGTGCAATGGGTTAAACTCTTGTGCCGGCAGGATTGAAGACCGGTTGGAGGTTCGAATCCAGGGAGAGCACGGGTGAGCTCCTTCTGTCAGCTCCAGCTCCCCATGAAGGGATATGAGAAAAGCCTCCCACAAGGATGGTAAAACATCAAAACATCTGGGCGTCCCCCTGGGCAACATCCTTGCAGATGGCCTATTCTCTCACACGAAAAGCGACTTGCGGTTTCCCAAGTTGCTCCTGACCAAAACAAAAACAAAAAAACCTGGAAGGCTTCCTAAGCCCTGGCATAGATGGGAAAACAATAAATCCTAGTCCATACAGATAACAGAAAGAGAAAAGGAAATAGGCTGTACCATTTCAGACTATGGAAAGAGGGAAGACAATTTTTATATGCATTGCCTAATACTTTTCCTGCATTTTTTAAAATTAATTTGAAAAAAATGAACCCTTACTAACTAGAAAAAGAGCACTATACTTCAATAGTGTATTAGGAATTGATCTTTAAAATCAAAAACAGGTTCCTAACAGATAAGGTCTTTTTGATATATTTAATGTAAATATATCTACAGGCTCCAATGATGTCCGTGTGCTACACATGTTCTGGATACAAGTGAAGAGTGTGCAGTCGTGTGTTCTCTATGTATCTGTGTTAAGAACATGCGTACCTCTCTCATGTCTATAAGGCAAGAAATACATTTAACCCAATAATAGATATTTCCCAGTCTATAGACATGCCTGTGACTGAGGTCATCTCAGGTCACAAAACCTGCCTTCCATTTGTCTAGAGACTCACCTACCAATTACCTTGGGTTAATACTGGATTCCAAAGTCTTGCCCTTCCAGGCTAATTCTTGAATATTCATACAATCCTAGAGTTGGAAAGCATCACAAGGGACATATAGCTGAGTGCATTCGCACTGCAGAAATCTTTAAAGCAGTGGTTCTCAGCCTTCCTAATGCTGCGAGCATAAAACACCAGAGGCAAAAAGAACAACAGTTCCTCATGTTGTAGGGACCCCCAACCATAACATTATTTTTGTTACTACTTCATAACTATAATTTTGGTACTGTGATGAATTGTAATCTAAATATCTGATATGCAGGATGTATTTTCATTCTCTGGACCAAATTTGGCACAAATACCTGATATGCCCAAATTTGAATACTGGTGGGATAGGAGGCAGGCCCATAGCCAGGATTTTGATTCAGGGGGGGGGGGGTGAATTTGATTGGGGGGGAAGGAGTAAGGTCGGGGGGGGGGGGCTGAGTCTGAGTGAAAGAGGGTCTACCCTAGCAAACCTTTTGTATCGTTACCCAAATACCCCCATGCATATGGGATATTTTGAGTATAGTGATCACGTCATGATATAAATAAACATAGCAGTTTAAATAATGCACCAGTAAGGCCTTTTCATGAACCAACAAGAGAATTTCGAGGGGGGGGGGCTGAAGCACCTCAAGCGCCCCTGCCCCTGGCTACATGCCTGGTTGGAGGGATTGATTTTGTCATTTGGGAGTTGTAGTTGCTGGGATTTATAGTTCATCTACAATCAAAGAACATTCTGAACTCCATCAATGATGGAATTGAAGCACACTTAGCACACATAACTCCCATGGCCAACAGAAAATACTGGAAAGGTTTGTGGGCATTGATCTTGAGTTTTGAAGTTGTAGTTCACCTACATCCAGAGAGCACTGTGGACTGAAACAATGATGGATCTGGACCAAACTAGGTACGGATACTCAATATGCCCAAATTTGAACACTGGTGGAGTTTGGGGGAAAATAGACATTGACATTTGGGAGTTGTAGCTGCTGGAATTTATAGTTCACCTATAATCAAAGAGCATTCTGAACCCCACCAACAATAGAATTGGGCCAAACTTCCCACACAGAACCCCCATGACCAATAGAAAATACTGTGTTTTCTGGTGGTCTTTGGCGACCCCTTTGAGACCCCCTTTTGACCCCCAGGGGTCCTGACCCCCCAGGTTGAGAAACACTGCTTTAAAGCACCTGCTCTCAAAACTGCTGTTTGGTAACAGGAAAGGTGAAGACCTATGGCCAATCTTCACTGTCAAACCAGAAACATTGGGATAGTCCAAGGCACTATACTGTCTGAGACAAATAAAAAATAAGTAAAAAAACAGGAAGCCACTTATTTACTGTCTATTTATTTATTTATTTACTATATTTGCATACCGCCCTTCTCAGCCCTTAGGCTGAGAAGACTTAGGCGACATATACTAAATATATGGAAGAATGGATAGAAAAGCATCTTTTCCCATGCATTGCTACCATTTTGGGATGCCACCAAATTCTTCCTAAGTTAACTATCTCTCCCTTTCTAATGGAAGGGCCAACTTTAGTGAACACCAAAGCAATCTGAGCTAATAGTCAAGTCAATTAATGGTGGGGGGGGGGGTGATGAAACAACCAATTGAAGCTGATGGAATACTTCATTGGCATAAAACACCAGAAGAAAAAAGAACAGCATAATGCATTCAAGGCTGAAATTATATCTAAAAGTTTGAAGTTKCTTTTGTGGCTTCTATTCAGGCATTTTAATACTCCCATGCTAGCATTTGCCACGTATCAACATATAGGTTTATGGCACCTTTTTCTCTTCCAAACATATGGATCTGGCTGCCTTAGTATTGCTCGCTGACCATTTCCGAAGGCTCTTTCCATCTCTGCATTTGTTAACGGCCTTTCTCTGTCTTCTCTTTCTCACAGAGGAAGAGCGACCCAAACCAAGGTAAGTGAAAGAAGGAGCTTAACTCAAGGGTGATTGTGAGCACCAGGACACTGGATGGTGTAGTTCTCACCGCAGGTTGGGAGGTAGAGAGGGAGAGGCAAGACACCCAACAATTTGAGTTGCCAACATATTTTTCTTTCAGGGCTCCTGTTTCTTTATGAGCTGCTTGAACAAATGTCAGTTCCCAACTAATCAGTCAAAATTTTACTTCAATTCTGGAGCAAAGTGGCAGCTCTGGCATAACTATGAAGGACCCCAGTTCTAAAAGGCAGCAAAGCCATTGAGGGGAAAACTGTGGCAACCCAACACAAAATTCAAAACTTGCATTTGGAGATCATGATGTTGACGTGCAATGTTAGAAACTCTTAAGGAACTGATCTTCCCTTCCACTCCTCTCTGGGCAATTCAGAGTAGTTCTAATTGCTTTTTTATCCCTGGTTTGACAAGAGAAAAGAGGCCTATAATATTTTGTATTTGTCCAAAGCTATTTCAGGTATTGACGCTGTTCTTTTTCCTCTTGTCTGTGTCTGTCCACACAAAGGCCAGTGGTTCCACAGTTGGCTCCTCCGAAAATCCCAGAGGGAGAGAGAGTAGATTTCGATGTGAGTATTATTGTTAAATATTTGAGGTGTGTATCACTTTTGTGACACTCCCATATGTGTGCTGTTGCTTCTCACAAAGACATGACATAAAATAAATTTGCTTATTAAACACAACAAGTTTCACTTTGACCACATACACTTGTCTGTCATGTCGGTGTTTAACGGCATTGAATGTTTTCCATGTATGTGTTCTGTGATCCGCTCTGAGTCCCCTTCAGGGTGAAGGGCGGACTATAGATACTGTAAGTTAATAAATAAATAAATAAATAAACAAGGTTGTAATGTCATGGCGGACAGGAGTTACAATGCCCCAATAACACCTTTAAATAAATAATAGCAAGAGATTACTAACATGAAGAGCAGAGCAATGGAAAGGAATCTGGCTACCAGTATTCTGGCTACCAGTATTAAAAAAACTCTAAAATTACAACAGCAAAACAGCAGAGAGGAAACAACCAGGCACAGCTTAACACCTCTCAACAGGGGATTTTCCCAGGCTCAGCCAGGCCTTCAAATGCTAATGAAGGTGGTCAGTTGAAACATTCACACCTACCTCCAGCAGGGAAGAGCTCCTTGCCCCACCCCAGCCATTCCACAGATATATACACCCATTGTCCTAATTCCATCAGACCTCACTACCTCTGAGGATGCTTGCCATAGATGCAGGCGAAACGTCAGGAGAAATGCCTCTAGAACATGGCCCTATAGCCCGAAAAAAACCCACAAGAACCTAGTGATTCCAGCCATGAAAGCCTTTGACAATACAATGGAAAGGAAGTTACTCAAGACAGTATTCTATTTACTATAAGTGTCTGCCACATGCTCTTCTACCTTTGGGGAGAAAAGATGGGCATCTTTATCTTCTTTCCTTTCTTCCCGATGAATGGAATCACATAGATGAAAGAAAGCAAGTCTATGTAGAAAAGTGCCTGGAAGGGGTTTATAGCAGCCCTTCTTCGTGCCATTCTTCCATTAACTCCTATGATTGTTTCTGAATTTTAAAAGACCAAAGGACTGAATGGGAAGAACTATAGTGAGGGGATCAGAGTTCATCAATAAGCACTCCTGAACCTTTAAGACCTCCGTAGTATCCTATCCATTGTAAAACCAGTCCTCCGTATCCAAAGGTTCTGGAACCACAGATCCAACCAACTACAGCTCAAAAGTCCAAAAAGCAAACCAAATATCACTGTATTGATGTAGCCTTCTGCCATTTCACAGATCCTCAGACTCTCTCTTGCATTCTTTGGATTTTTCTCCATTTTATTGAATGTAATGGGATTTGAGCATCATTGGATTTTGTTATCTGCCAGGGTCCTGGAGCCAAACTCCAGCAGATACTGAGGACTCCCTGTATCAACAAATCAAATTCATTCTGCTATTTTTAATTCCACTCATGACCTACCTTAAGGGTTCCTAGGAATGTATTGTCGAGAGCTTTCATAGCTGGAATCACTGGGTTGTTGTAGGTGTTTTGGGCTGTATGGCCATGTTCTAGAAGCATTCTCTCCTGATGTTTTGCCTGCATCTGTGGCCGGCATCCTCAGAGGTTGTGAGGTCACAGCCTCTGAGGATGCCTGCCACAGATGCAGGCGAAATGTCAGGAGAGAATACTTCTAGAACATGGCCATATAGCTCAAAAAATCTACAACAACCCAGTTCCTAGGAATAATCCGAAAAATAACACCTTTCTCACTATCTCTGACAGGACATCCACCGCAAGCGTATGGAAAAGGACCTGCTGGAGTTGCAGACCCTCATTGATGTACACTTTGAGCAGAGGAAAAAGGAAGAGGAAGAACTTGTTGGTCTCATGTCAAGGATTGTGAGTTCCAGACTGGGAGTAAAGGCTGGTTTGGTCTTTGTGTTGGAGTTTCTCCCATTGTGTGATCTGTCTCTAGCCTTCTTTGCCAAAAAGTGCTGACTGAAAGGTCAGTGGTTTGAATCCGGAGAGTGGAGTTAGCTCCCATCTGTCAGCTCCAGTTTCTCATGAGGGGACATGAGGGAAACCTCCCACAGGATGGTAAAACTTCTGTGCATCTCCTGGGCAACGTTTTTGCAGATGACCAATTCTCTCACACCAGAAGCGACGTGAAGTTTCTCAAGTCGCTCCTGACACACACACAAAAACACACCAAACTACATCTCCTAGGATTTTTATTACCTTTTATTTTAATCCCAAACAAGATAGCGATGTCCAAATTTTTGTTCCTGTTTTGTATCTGACAAACCCAGGATTCTTTAGCATTAAGCTACAGCAGTTAAAGTCGCATCAAACTGAATCAATTCTGTGTTGTAGATGCATCTCTAGTCCAACCTTCAAACCATTATAGCACATCAATATACGAGTTTTCTTCTTTACTTCCTTCCCCAATTTAGCCCCTGTGGGTCCCTTCTCCCTCCCCAAACCATGTATGCAATGGATTAGCAGTGGGATGTGAACATCAGCACAACTCTGCAGGATTAACCAGCAAAGGTGAAAATGCCAAACCAGACTGGGAAAAGGCGAATAGAAGCCTTCACCTTCAAGTCACTTCTTCCCAATCCTTTCTGTTTTTGGTGAAGCAGATCCTCTGTCTCCACTTGCAATCTGCTTGTATACTGGCAAACAAAATGTCTTCAACTGCCTCTCCTATGATGCCAAACCCAGCACAGTTGTCCCAGAGGTCTCCATACTTCAGGAGGAGATGAAAAATACATACTGTTTTTTGCTAAACATCATACTAAACAATGATTTAAAATAAAATAAAACGTTTAAAAGTTCAAAGATGACAAAACCTGACGGCTCAGTTAAGACAAAGGTTGCTCTTTACTCCCATCTTGTGGTTGTTTAGTTGGTTAGTCACATTACAGTTGTGGGGAAAGTTCAGATAATGTATATGAATGTTCCCCTCAAACATTTGTCAACTTATGGCAACTTCCATGGATTTCATAGGGTTTTCTTAGGCCAGGCTCAGAGGTGGTTTTGCCAATAGCTTCCTTAGAAATATAGCCTACAGCACCTGGCATTACTTGGTTGTCCCCATCCAAGTGCTAACAAGGGCGGACTCTGTGTCGCTTCCAAGATCGGATGGGTTCTAACGCCTTTGGGGTATTTTAGCCTATTGTGGGTCACTCAGAAAATGACTCCATGTGGATATGGCTTATGATTAAATTTTTAAAAATAAACCCTGTTCCATCAAAATGGCAACGACTAGCTTGGAAAACCTGCCACCTCTTTGCACTTTGTTGTTGTGTGCCTTCAGGTCATTTCTTAGGCCAGCATTTCTCAACCTGGCAGTCAGGATCCCTGGAGATGTCAGAGGGGTTACCAAAGACCATCCAAAAACACAGTATTTTCTGTTGATCATGGGGGTTCTGTGTGGGAAGTTTGGCCCAATTCTATCTTTGGAGGGGTTCGGAATGCTTTTTGGTTGTAGGTGAACTATAAATCTCAGCAACTACAACTCCCAAATTGCAAGGTCTATTTTCCCCAAACTCCACCAGTGTTTGCATTTGGGCATATTGAGTATCTGTGCCAAGTTTGGTCCAGATCCATCATTGTTTAAGTGCACAGTTCTCTCCAGTTTTAAGTGAACTACAGCTCCAAAACTCAAGGTCAATGTCCGCCAAACCCATCCAGTATTTTCTCTTGGTCATGGGAGTTCTGTGTGCCAAGTTTGGTTCAATTCCATCATTGGTGGAGTTCAGAATGCTCTTTGATTGTAGGTGAACTATAAATCCCAGCAACTACAACTCCCGAATGACAAAATCAATCTCCCCCAACCCCACCAGAATTCAAATTTGGGTGTATTGGGTATTTGTGTCAGATTTGGTCCAGTGAATAAATATACATATACATATCAGATATTTACGTTACAATTTATAACAGTAGCAAAATTTCAGTTATGAAGTAGCAATGAAAATAATGTTATGGTTGGGGGCCACCACAACATGAGGAACTGTATTAAGGGGTTGCACCATTAGGAAGGTTGAGAAACACTGTCTTAGGCAATCCTAAGGCAAATCTATCATGGGATTTTCTCAGCAAGATTTGTCCAGAGGAGGTTCGCCAATTCCTTCATCTGAGGCTCCATCTATACTGCCTTATAATGCAGTTTAAGAATGGAGATTAGTTGCATTGAATAGCATTATATGGCAGTATGGATGAGGCCAGAGAGATGATGATGATGATGATGATGATGATGATGATACATTTTATTGGCTGAAGTGTTACACAGCTAGTTTCCTGGCTGAATGCAGATTCAGACACTGCTCTACAGAGCCATAGTCAAACCAGTTCCCAACCCCCACCCCCACCACGGTATTAGTATTAGTATCACTATGATTATTATCTCACTTTTATCTTGATCAAGACACAAAGTCAGCATGGGAACTGTAGTCCAGAAAAGAAACTTTCCAAACTCTGAACAATATACATAAAGAAATTCCAGGATTCAGTAGAAGAAGGGAAAGTGGATTTCTATTTCAGTAAGTAAGTGATACTTCAGTCTCAGTAAGTAAGAGATGAAAAGACCTGACCCACTTTCCTACATTTGTGTCCCCTTCCAGGAGCACCGACGGGCAGAAAGGGCTGAACAACAGCGGGTCCGCACTGAGAAAGAACGGGAGCGACAAGCCAAACTTGCAGTGAGCATTGCCACGTTGCAGCCATTTTGAGTATCTTTTTTAAGAGAGAAAAAGTGGGATGCAAATAACGATGTAATGATGATGATTATGGTGATGGGTGTGTATGTATATATTGTTGAAGGCTTTCATGGCAGGATTCATTGGGTTGTTGTAAGTTTTTCGGGCTGTATGGTCATGTTCCAGAAGCACTCTCTCCTGTAGTTTTGCCTGCATCTATAATAGGCTCCTCAGAGGTTGTGAGATCTGTTGGAAACTAGGAAAATGGGGTTCATATATATGTGGAATGTCCAGCATGGGAAAAAGAACTCTTGCCTTTTGGAAGTAGATGGGAATATTTCAAAGTGGTCACTTTGATTAGCATTTAATGGGCAAGCAGTTTCAAGGTGTGGCTTTTTACTGCCTGGGGGAATCCTTTGTTGAGAGGTGATTAGCTGTCCCTGATTGTTTCCCTGTTTTTAAGTGTTGTTCTTTATTTACTGTTATGATTTTAGAGTTTTTTAAAATACTGGTACCCAGATTTTGTTCATTTTCATGGTTTCTTCCTTTCTGTTGAAATTGTCCACATGCTTGTAGATTTCAATGGCTTCTCTATGTAGTTTGACATGATAGTTGTTAGTGTGGTCCAATATTTCTGTGTTCTCAAATAATATGCTGTGTCCAGGTTGGTTCATTAGGTGCTCTGCTATGACTGAATTCTCAGGTTGAGTTAGTCTGCAGTGCCTTTCATGTTCCTTGATTCGTGTCTGGGCAATGCTGCGTTTGGTGGTCCCTATGTAGACTTGTCCACAGCTGCATGGTATACGGTAGACTCCTGCAGAGGTGAGGGGATCCCTCTTCCCCTTTGCTGAACGAAGTATTTGTTGGATTTTCTTGATGGGTCTGTAGATAGTTTGTAGGTTGTTTTCCTCATCAGCTTCCCTGTGCAATCAGTGGTTCCCTTGATGTATGGCAAGAACACTTTTCCTCTGTCTTTACTCTTGTGGCTTGTTCTTGGTCTTGCAGCTATTCTGATGTCTGTGGGGGAGTCTCCATTGGCCTGTAGAGCCCATTTTAGGTGGTTCAGTTTGTCTTGAGGAGGTGGAGTTCGCAAATTCTTTTTGCACGGTCTGCCAGGTCTTTAATTGTGCTTCTTATTTGACTTGGGTGATGGTTTTGTGTGTTTGTGTATATATATACACTAGCCATCCCCTGCCACGCATTGCTGTGGCCCAGTCTGTGTATATGTGTTTTGTGTGTGTATATATGTGTGTATATATTTGTGTATATGTGTATATATGTTGTTTTGCGAATGCATTGTAATGAATTTTTTTATTTTTTGGCTTTTAAGTCTCTTCTGCTGTGTTTCTCAGTGTTTTTATGAGTGATGATCACTTGTTGGCCTGATTTGTGTATTGTGTCCAAATTTGGTGTCAATTCATCTAGTGGTTTTTGGGTTATGTTAATACCACAAACGAGTGTGTGTGTATGTGTGTGTGTGTATACACACATACACACATAGAATCATAGAATCATAGAATCAAAGAGTTGGAAGAGACCTCATGGGCCATCCAGTCCAACCCCCTGCCAAGAAGCAGGAATATTGCATTCAAATCACCCCTGACAGATGGCCATCCAGCCTCTGTTTAACACATGCACCCACACACATACACATGCACCCACACACAGACACACAAACTCACTAGCCATCCCCTGCCATCCCCTGCCACACGTTGCTGTGGCCCAGTCTGTGTATATGTGTTTTGTGTGTGTATATATGTGTGTATATATTTGTGTATATGTGTATATATGTTGTTTTGCAAATGCGTTGTAATGTATTTTTAATTAATTTTTTTTTTGCTTTTTAAGTCTCTTCTGCTGTATTTTTCAGTGTTTTTATGAGTGATGGTCACTTCTTGGTTTGACATGTGTATTGTGTCCTGATTTGGTGTCAATTCATCCAGTATTTTTTGAGTTATGTTAATCCCACAAACGAGTGTATATGTGTGTATGTGTGTTTTGTGTGTGTATATATGTGTGTATGTGTGTGTATATATTTGTGTATATGTGTGCTTTTGCGAATGCGTTGTAATGCTTTTTTGTTTTTGTTTTGTTTTGCTTTTTAAATCTCTTCTCCTGTGTTTTAGGTGTTTTTATGAGAGATGGTCACTCATTGGCCTGATAGGTGTATTGTGTCCAAATTTGGTGTCAATTCGTCCAGTGGTTTTTGAGTTATGTTAATCCCACAAACTAACTTTACATTTTTATTTATATAGATACACACTAAGTCACAAATCACAACCTAAAATTATCCCCCTCCATCCTTCTTTCTCCTCCCAAAGTCACAGCCAGTGAAAGATTATTTCCTTGTCAGTCTTCTTACTGACAAATTAGCCTTTAATCTATTGTCTAGACATGTCTTCCCTATAGTCTATTAGTCATTTAACCAAAATCTCACTGGATCTGAAGGTGGTTTAAATTTGCTATAGCTATGACACATACATCGCTCATAAATGGTTTCCGTATAACCTTGAACCAATTCTCTTTTCATTTCTCCTCTCTCTAATCTTATTTTGTATGTGAATCTCTGGAGTGATTAAATTATGGTTCACAAAGAAAACATAAGAAGTAGGGGTGAAAGAATATTTGAAAACATAGTTGAAAATCATGTTTTTTATGTTGAGAAACTCAAACAAGAAGAATCCTTGTCTGATGAGAACCTTTGCAGTTTGGGACTTATCCTTTGCGATATGGTTCATATTGAAATGTTCATTTATACTCAAAAGACATGCTTCAATGCATGTTTTCTCTAAAAACATGGTTTTCAGTACACGTTTAGTACGCTGCTTATATTCTTGTCTCCAAAAAGGCATTTCAGGTGCATATTTTGATACATTTAAGCAGCCAAGCATTGCATTTAGAAAATCCATGGAAAGGTTAGATCAGGCATGGGCAAACTTGGACCCTCCAGGTGTTTTTGGACTTCAGCTCCCACAATTCCTAACAGCCGGTAGGCTGTTAGGAATTGTGGGAGCTGAAGTCCAAAACACCTGGAGGGTCCAAGTTTGCCCATACTTGGATTAGATCATAGCCAAGAGATGCAAATTGGGATGTTTTATTGCAAAACTGAATTTTTCAGGCATCCATACGCTTCAAAAATGGACTATTCATTGGGAAGTGGGGACCAGCAAAAGAAATCCCAGATGTTTTCTTTTCCCTGGTTTTGAATAAGGGATTTTACTGCCTTTATTGTTCAATGCAGGAAGAGAAGATGAGGAAGGAGGAGGAAGAGGCTAAGAAGAGAGCTGAAGATGATGCCAAGAAGAAGAAAGTGCTCTCCAACATGGGTGCTCATTTTGGTGGCTACCTGGTCAAGGTAAGCTGCTTGGAGTTAGTATGGATGACATAACTTTTTTTGGAGGGGGGGTTACAATATGGTAGTTTTCTCTATTTGTTAGGAAATCCCCATATCAGTAAAAGAAACTCTGTGCATCAAAGCAGTTGTCTCCGATTCCATCTGTTTGGTGTTTAACTGTCCCCTCTTAGGCTGAGCAAAAGCGGGGCAAGAGGCAGACGGGCCGTGAAATGAAGATCCGGATCTTATCTGAGCGAAGAAAGCCTCTGAACATAGATAATATGAATGAGCAACAGCTGAGGTGGGTAATGGAGCAGAACTACATTTGAGTGCACTTCCTGGGTCAGAAGGCTGATTTTTCAAATGAGATTTGACATATTGTGAGCCCCTCCTGGAGGTGAGAGGATTGGTATAGAAAACTTTTAAATAAATAAATAAATAAATAAATAATTTCAGGGGAAGGGATTTATAAGTGAAGCGTCTGGCACTGTTTACCTTTCTCTTTTCAGGGACAAAGCCAAGGAATTGCATGACTGGATCCATCAGCTTGAGTCAGAAAAGTTTGACCTGATGGAGAAACTCCAAGGCCAGAAATATGAGGTAAGGAGAAGAATGAACTTCAGCTTTTAGTTCCTCTTTCAGGTGGCTTGCCAGATCTCAGATGGGACAGGTCCATAAAGAGACAAAAAAGTTGTGCCAATGCAGGCAATAAAACCATGGGAATTTTAGTTTGGTGAGATACCAACATGTTATGGTAAAGAAGGCTAAAGATCTTGTAAAGCAGGCATGGTCAAACTTCAGCCCTCCAGATGTTTTGGACTTCACCTCCCACAATTCCAAAAAACCTGGAGGGCCAGTTTGCCCGTTGCTGTTGTAAAGCTGCAACTGCCATGATTCCATAGCATTCATCCATAGCAGTTAGAAGTATCATTGGGTTGTTGTAGGTTTTTTCAGGCTATATGGCCATGGTCTAGAGGCATTTTCTCCTGACGTTTTGCCTGCATCTATGGCAAGCATCCTCAGAGGTAGTGAGGTCTGTTGGAACTAGGGAAAAGGGTTTATATATCTGTGGAATGACCAGGGTGAGACAAAGGACTCTTGTCTGCTGGAGCTACGTGTGAATGTTTCAACTGACCACCTTGATTAGCATTTGATAGCCTGGAAGTGCCTGGAGAAATCTTTTGTTGAGAGGTGATTAGATGTCCCTGATTGTTTTCCCTCTGCTGTTTTGCTGTTGTAATTTTAGAGTTTTTTTAATACTGGTAGCCAGATTTTGTTCATTTTCATGGTTTCCTCCTTTCTGTTGAAATTGTCCACATGCTTGTGGATTTCAATGGCTTCTCTGTGTAGTCTGACATGGTGGTTGTGAGAGTGGTCCAGCATTTCTGTGTTCTCAAATAAAATGCTGTGTCCAGGTTGGTTCATTAAATGCTCTGCTATGGCTGACTTCTCTGGTTGAAGTAGTCTGCAGTGCCTTTCATGTTCCTTGATTCGTGTTTGTATCATTAATTGTACAATGTAGATGTGTCCCAAGTCGGTGAACAATACATTCCAGTAACTACACTTGCCGCACTTGCTCCCTTGCCTGGCCCGCTTTGGGTCCGGAGGCATGTCTGAAGACCCCAGCGTGCGCACCAAAAGTCACCTCTTCTCCTGACTTTCTCTTCAGCCATTGGGACCAAGAGAGAGAGAGAGAGAGAGAGCCCCTCCGGCTGGAGGTATCTTCCACCTCCGCTCCCTCCTTTGTTTTTGCGCCTACCTTCAGGAAAGGTGGGCATCTCCACCTCTCTCTCTCTCTCTCTCTTGGTCCCAATGGCTGAGGAGAAAGTCAGGAGAAGAGGTGACTTTTGGTGCACACACCGGGGTCTTCAGGCACGCCTCCGGATCCAAAGCAGGCCAGGCAAGGGAGCAAGTGCGGCAAGTGTAGTTACTGGATGTATAGTTCACCTACAATCAAAGAGCATTCTGAACTCCACCAATGATGGAATTGAACCAAATATGGCACACAGAACTCCACGACGAACATAAAGTATATAGCAGTGATTGGGGGGGGGGGCAAAAATACTGTTTGCTTACCATTGAAAATTACCTAGGGCCGCCTCTGATCTACAAGTCAGAAAATGCAGGAAAAGGATGCTCTGGGTCGAGAGATAGTGGATTTATGCCCCCTTTCCTCTCTGATGGCCAGCTGCCCACCTATAATGTTTACCTATTAGCCTCCAGAAATGCAGTCTTCCTAATCTATAACATTACATTTGGGAAAACTGAGTTAGTTAGCCATACAAGTATAAAGAATCATCCTAAATTATTTGCCACTGCTATATTTATTTTAAAAAAAAGATGAAATGAAAGGATATTCTCAGAGATCGGACTTCAGTCTCATGCCAAAAATGGGGAAACTTTCCAAAATAGCAATCCAAGTTAATATGGAATTTATGTTAATGGCAATTACAGGGAATAAAAACATTGCTGCGAAGAAACAAGACTTATTTAAAGCAATGATTTTAGCAGGAAAGGCAGTAATAGCCTGGGGATGGAGAGATGAAAAGTTGGAATCTGGAAAATTGGAATAAATATTTATTTGAGCCAGTCCAATCAGATATTATTGCATGTATAACCCAAGAAGGTTCACAGGAGGACATAATAGAAAAAATTAAAGAGAAATGGTCAAATTATATGAAATGAGAAGAAGGTGAAGCCGGCATAGATATTGTACAAAGATTGAAAAGGCTGTGTTTGTGGTTAAAAATAAAGATATAGAGAGAAAAGTGGTGGGAGGGGTAGGGAAGGGTAATGGGAGGAGGGGGAAGAAAAAAATGCAATATGAATGAATCTGTAAAGAATGTGAATAGATAATATAGAAATATTTTAGCACAATGTAAGCCTACAATAGACATTTATTATCTGTTCAAATATGATGTTATTTTGTTTTCAATAAAAAATAAAGAAGAAAAAAGTCAAAAAAATCATGCCAAAAATGATCACTCTCAAAAGTTTCTTCTCTGTGCTGCTTTCCCTCTCCCTTCCTGCAGATCAATGTCCTTTACAACCGGATCAGCCATGCTCAGAAATTGTGAGTACCTTGTGAAACATAGATCTCTGCAATGTGGATGCAGGGACTAGAATTCATTGAGGCACAAGCATTCAAATGAAACATTTCACAATGGTCCAGCCCACCTCACCCCCAATCCAGCTATGTCAGATTCCGGGAAATGGATGCTTTGAGTGTCATGTCTTAGAGAAGCACAAATCCAGCTTTTTTCTGGGTTTTAGGAAAATAACAAAAACAGCTGTGAAGCATATTTAAGATGGATAGCACCAGGTCTCATGGAGACAATCCAGTTCCTGAGGATGTTGATTGTAGCCACCAAAACTCATGGCGTGAGAAGTCTGCCCATGCGTGTTAACGTGGCTATGAAATCTTTTGCTAGTTTCCCAAATCAGAACTCATCAAATATAGAAACCCAGTGATTGCACTGAACATTCACACAAAATTCAAAATTTTAACATGGCAGATTTAGCAATGAGGTCAGGTCTTCCAGCCATCTAATAAGGTGTTTAAAAAAAAAAAGTCTATCTTTCAATTTTTTTTTTTTCATATCAGGAGCAACTTGAGAAACTGCAAGTCACTTCTGGTGTGAGAATTGGCCATCTCAAGGACGTTGCCCAGGGAATGTCTGGATGTTTTACCATCCTGTGGGAGGCTTCTTTCATGTCCCCACATGGGAAGCTGAAGCTGACAGACAGGAGCTCACCCTGCTCACCGGGTTCAAACTGCCGACCTTTTGATCAGCAGTCCTACCAGCACAAGGGTTTAAGCCATTGCTCCACAAAGTACTATATTTGTTAACAAACAGCAGGATCAGCCTATTCATGACATCCATTGTCAGAACTGAAGATCACTACAGAACTATACTTATAAAAGGCCTTTCATACCTGGATATTCACAAGTTCATCAGTTATACTTGTAGTCCTTTTGACTAAAGTGAGAAAGCTTCAATTTCCCCGTTTCATTTAAACTTAACCATAAACAGACTTTATTGATTCCTTCATTCTCCGATTTCCCTTTTATTGACCCTGCCAAATGGTATTCTATTAACCATCTATGTTTCCATGTAGTATATATGCAACAATTGTTGACATTTATGGCATAACTTCAAAGGAGTCATGACAGACAGCTATGCCAACTTCCACTCTACTACATCCAGGAATTTGGGATTAATTTTCCTTGTTAAGTAAATTTTAGACCTCATCCCTCTCCGTAGTCCCAACCATATAGATGGGATAAAGAGATGTGTGTTTTGTTTCTTCATTGATGTGTTTTGTTTATTCATTGATTCCTAGGAACTGACTTGGGAAATAGTCCACATATTATAAAGTGTGCATCTTTCTCTTGTAGCAAAAAAGGTGCCGGAAAAGCCAGACTTGGCGGACGCTGGAAGTAAAAAAACTCAAGAAACCAGGTCTGGACGCTTCATTGGCAGGAAAAAAAATGGCTATTGACTCCATCGCATAGCTTGCCCTTGTCTAGTTTTGTTCTGAAATTGACCACTCTGCCCTGTATCCATTCTCTTCCACTTCTTGTCATGTGTGCCTGTAACATATTGCATGTTATGAACCACACACAATAAACCAACTTCTCTCCTCTGCGGAATCTCTCTGCGAAGTGCATTCCTTTCTGCTAATAGGGACATCATAGGAAAACATAAGGAAACACAGTGTGGTGTAGTGGTTACATGCTGGCCTTGAATTCCAAAAGACCGGGGTTCAAATCCGTTCTCAGCCATGGAGCCTCACTAGGTGATTTTGGGCAAGTCTCACAATGGGCAGAAGGCAATGGCAACCCTCTAACAAATGTATCTTGACTGCAAACCGCAATGATAAAGCCACATAAATCAGAGCTGATGTCTTTTTTTCATTGTTTTAATTCAATTGTAACATAAAAATGCAAAAAAGCCAATATTTATACACATACTTATAAACATACTTAACTACATAACTATACAATTCCTCCTACAAGTAAATAAATAAATATAGATAAAGGTTTCCCTAAGTCTAGTTGAGTCCGACTCTGGGGGGTGGTGTTCATCTCCATTTCTAAGCTGAAGAGCCGGCATTGTCCGTAGATGCCTCCAAGGTCATGTGGCTGACATGACTGCATGGAGCCGTTACCTTCCCGCAGAAGTGGTACTATTGATCTACTCACATTTGCATGTTTTTGAACTGCTATTGGCAGAAGCTGGACCTTGCTGCCAAACGTAAGCCGTCCTGAGTCCCTCTTCGGGGGTTGAGAAGGAACGGGGTAGAAATACTGGAAATAAATCTATATATATAAATTTCCTACTGGCGTCCAACGAGGAAACAAAACTCTAAAACCCCTCCACACAACTCTACCAAAATTGCCATGCCCCAAGGACAACCCACTAGGTACAAACTAATCCACTCAGAAATCAAAACCACACAACAACAACCACAAAACACGGCAAAACAACTGAGCATGCGCACTGGCGCAAACTCCCTGGCGCGCGCACACACATGGCCCCTCACCCTCCCCCCCCGGCGCGGCACACACACGCGCGCGTGCGCACGGCCCCTCACCCCCCCAGCGCGCACACACACACACGCGCGTGCCCCCTCTCCCCCCCCGGCGCAGCACACACATGCGCGAGCGCACGCGCCCCCTCTCCCCACCGGCGCGGCACACACACACACGCACACACACACGCGCACGTGCCCCCTCACCCCCCCGGCGCGGCACACACGCGCGCGCGCACGCCCCCCCCCCCCCTCCGGTGCGGCACACGCAACGCACGCACGCGCGCGCCCCCTCACTCCCCTGGCCGGCACACACGCGCGCATGTGCGCCCCCTCTCCCCCCCGCGCGGCACACACACACGCACGCCCGCGCGCCCCCTCACCCCCTGGCGCGGCACACACGCGCGCATGTGCGCCCCCTCTCCCCCCCCGCGGCACACACGCGCGCCCCCCATCCCCCTTCCCCTCCTCCCTCTTCCCTCCTCACGTTACCTCCAAGCCACGCCCCCTTCTAAACCCATCCCCCCTCCCCTCCTCCCTCCTCACGTTACCTCCAAGCCACGCCCCCTTCTAATCTGTCAAGGAAGAATCATAGAATCATAGAATCAAAGAGTTGGAAGAGACCTCATGGGCCATCCAGTCCAACCCCATTCTGCCAAGAAGCAGGAATATTGCATTCAAATCACCCCTGACAGATGGCCAGGGGTGAACTGTAAATCCCAGCAACTACAATTCCCAAATGACAACATCAAGGAAAAAAGGAAGGAAGAAAGAAGAAAGAGGGAGGGAAAGAAAGAAGAGGAAGAGAGAAGGAAAAAGAGAAGGGGAGGGAAAGAAAAAGGGGGAAGGAAGGAAAGTTAGAGAAAGAAGGAAGGAGAGAAGGAAAGAAAAAAGGGAAAGAAGGAAGGAAAGAAGGAGCGAAGGAAGGGGGGAAGATGTAGAGAAAGAGGGAGGGAAGGAAAGATGGAAAGAGAGAAGGAAGAAAAGAGAGACTGCAGAAGAGAAAAAGGAAGAAGGAAGGAAAGAGGGAGCGAAGGAAGGGGATAAAATGTAGAGAAAGAGGGAGGGAAAGAAAGGAGGAAAGAGAGAAGGAAGAAAAGAGAGACAGCAGAAGAGAAAGAAAAAGGGGGAAGGAAGGAAAGCGATAGAGAAGGAAGGAAGGAGAGAAGGAAAGACGGGAAGGAAGGAAGGAAACAGGGAGTGAAGGAAGGAGGGAAAGAAGGGGAGATAGGGGGAAGGTTGGCCACAGCAACGCGTGGCGGGTACAGCTAGTATATCTATATATATATATATATATATATATATATATGTGTGTGTGTGTGTGTGTGTGTGTGTGTGTATATATATATATATATATATATATATATATAGATATTGTATGTATATATATATATAGTTATATATGTAATTAGAATATATATTCTAATTACATATATAAAAATAAAATAGAAACATATACATAAATCAGTTTTATGTTTCTGATTCCCTTTTGTCCATTTCTCCATAGTTTAACATGTTTTCTTCCTCCCTATATCCTGCAGATTCTTTACTTCTAGTAGTTTTCTATATTAACAAATGACTATCCCAACATTTGGTATCTCCAAACAGAAAAGTCTTTTCTTCTCCCCCAAATAAATGGCGATTAAAAGAGTCTCCATTATTTTAGGGAAGACCAACAAAATTGTTAACTTGCCCATTTCTTAGTTCCCACATCTTCACTGTCCAACTTTCTATAGTTGATATTTTTGTCTTTTTCCATTGTTGAGCATATAGTCAGAGCAACTTGAATGCATGTCACAAGAACAACAAAAAACTGAAATCTCGGTGTATTTTGTTATTCTGAACAATAGTGTGTACGTGGTGTGTGTGTGTGTGTAAAATGAATGAGGTCTTCTGATACAGAGGAAGAAGAAGAGGCTGCCTCCCATCTGGCAAAACGAGGAAGTGAGAGAAACTGAAAATGACCAAATATGTGCATTTTTGTTCCAAACAGACACTACATCCAGGCCATGGTAGCTCAGGTCTTCCAAGTCAATAGAGAATTGAATCCACTTTGGATTTTAGCCTGACCTCTAAGAGAGAAATCCAATTTTCTTAGCCTATTTTGTTGAGAGAATTCAGCTCACCAGACAGCTTCTTTTAATGTATTGTCGAAGGCTTTCATGGCTGGAATCACTGGGTTGTTGTAGGTTTTTTCGGGCTATATGGCCATGTTCTAGAGGCATTCTCTCCTGACATTTCGCCTGCATCTATGGCAAGCATCCTCACAACCTCTGAGGATGCTTGCCATAGATGCAGGCGAAACATCAGGAGAGAATGCCTCTCGAACATGGCCATATAGCCCGAAAAAACCTACAAAAACCCAGCTTCTTTTAAATTCAGATGAAAATGCAAGGCAGATTAGTGCTTTGATTGTGTTTTCTCGCATGGCAAGGGGTTGGACAGGATGGTCCTTGTGGTCTATTCCAACTTTATGATTTTGTTTTCTGCTGGCACAAAACCCAGCTCAGACTCACCTTCTTTCTCTGTCACTGTCCAAAATATCTGGCCCATCTCTTGACCTCTAGTGGAGACAGGAGATATAGTAGCTCTACAGTGCCACCTACTGGCTACATTTCCTACTGCAGTATTTCTCTCTATTGAAATTTATACCTGAAGTCAGACTCAGTGAAGTATAATGATTGGAGCATAGGACTCAACTCTGGAGAAGAGATTTCCAAGCCATAAGAACTCACTGGGTCTGCTCTTTCAGATGGTTCATCCTCCTGATTCAATTACCAATTCATTTCCAATGTAGACCTATTAAGGTGTATTCCATCAAAGTCAATTGAGTTTGCACACAGCTAAGGAGGTAGAATCAGTGGAGCTTAGTGGTTCGAGTGTTGGAAGAGGGCTGAATCTACTCTGTAGAATTAATGCAGTTTGGCACCACTTTAACTGTCATGGCTTAATGCTATGGGATGTGTAGCTAGTTAAGAACGGAAGGTGCATCAACAGGAAGTGAGATACATCAACCTCTAGGAAGGGAAATTCACTCCTGAAAAAGTTATCATGGGGAAAAGGGGTCTCACTGAAGCTTTCTTGCCAATCCTTGATTTTATTTATTTATTTATTTTGAATATTCGTACCCTACCCTTCTCAACCCCCCGGGGGATGGGGGGAGATTCAGGGCGGTTTCCAATTTGGCAACAATTCGATGCCTCAATATATACATAATTAAAACATAACAGTCAATAATTAAAAATCGTTAAAAACATTAAAACAATACAATTAAAACCCACAACAAGTCATTTTTTTCAAAATCCAATTATCACGGGGACAGAAAGTGAGGTGAAGCCTTCTGAACAGGGGCACAAACAGCAAAACAAACTCCTCAGCAAGAAAAGGCCAAAAACCTTGTAAAACTACAGTTTCCATAATTTCACAGCATTGAGCTATGGCAATTAAAGTCATGTCAAACTGCATTACAGGCAGTCCCCGAGATACATACATCGACTCATATGAAGTTGAATTTAGACTATGGACCGTAGTTAAGGAGGGTCGTGCCTGGTGAGCATTTACACTAACACCCAAAGTTTCAGATTAAAGAACACACTTACCGGAGATGAAGACAGGCGACAGAGGCTTTAATTACGATCCGCCCGGAAAAGAATGTGCCAAAAATACAAGAAAGCCTATACATTGCTCATACATTTTATATATATATATATATATATATATATATATATATATATATCCTTTATTCAAGCTTTAGCCCTCCGTCTGATCCCTTTCCTGATTGGTCAGTAGAGGGGCTTGCTTGGTAAGTGGAAGGAGAAGGAGGAGGACTGGTTCAAGGAAGGCCAATCAGCTGTCCAGGGGGCATCTCTCCTGGGAGGAGGCAAGCCAAAGAAGTCTCTGCCCATATTTAGGGAGCTTAGGGGCTTTCTCTTGAAACAAAGGGCCCATTCTTGGGTGTCGATCTTGGGTACTGACAAACAAACAGGTTTGGACTTGGCTGGAGATCATCTATTTCTGAAACAGTGGATTTGGCTAATTGCTTTGGTTTGGAAAAAGGCCCAAAGTTTGCCAAACCTTTCTGTCCAGGTAATTCCTCTATGAGGTTAAGGGAAGGTGATG